TTTTATGAAATGCATTAATTGTTGTCTGATCAAATAATAAAAGCAGTCATCAATGTTATACTGTAATAATGCAATAATGCAAGTTAAGCCAATTATATTCGTAATAAATTCATTTACAAATTTCAACTAACGATTCAGTATTGATATGATACGTGGCTAATATACTCCATTTGAGTTTGTTTCTGAAAACTTGAGTCTGAATACCGCTAAATTGTTACCAAATCAAATTGTGCGGTTTTTGAAACTGTTCGATATTTATGGCTTTAACACCCAGTCAACCAATCTATCTGATGGCTCAAAAATATCATACTTAATCAACTGGATGCACTTTTTAATGGTTGTTTTGCTTACAATATACGGAGTGTTTTTCTTTTACAATTTTTACTATTTATTCGGATTGATTGAGAGCATAAATGAATATGTAGAGTATTCAGCTTCATTAGTTGGATATTGCTTGATCGTATTCGATTCTCTACTTCATCGACGGGCGCATCGGCGTTTTTGGATCATTTTTCAACAAATTAACAAATATCTTCATCGTCAATCAAACGTGATTTCCCGAAGCTATGTGATTAAAATTGTTGAATTTTCTGCCGCAAACATGATAATAATAATAATAATTTCTATATCGCAAACATTAAGTATCTTTAATTTCCTGTCTTACATGGCATACATAATCCCAATAAAAATATGTCAAATGCGGCTATTTTACTACATTTTCTGTTTGGAAACTGTGCTGTACGAGATGCAACGGATGCAAGATGAGATTAAATATATGCAAAAGAAAGCAAACTGTGGCAGCGCTCGTAGAATGAATACATCTTTTGAGTCAAAGCGAATAGAATGGATTCATAAATATAGTTGCGTCCATGAAATGATTGAACTTTCAAATGTGGGCACAGTATTGTTCTGGTTTTTTGCTCTTTTCACCGATGTTAACTATCTGTATATTCATTTTCACGAGCTATCTACAGCTAGACAAACACGTGAGCAATCTTACTATTAGTTTAACAAAAGATTTCATTAATACATATGTCATTTTAAATCTTCTTTTCCAGGCGCCATTTTGTGGTTTACACATTCGCTTCTGTTGATTATTTATCTATTTCACAGTGTGACTAAATACTCAATAATGGTGAGATTTCATAGATCTTTCATTCTCTAAATGATAACGAAACTATTTCAGAAAAAGAACATCCTTCATAATTTGATCATTCTTGATGACAATGTTCCAATCTTCGACCTTGGGACGAAGGTATATCATTTTTCTTCAAAATACACAAGAGTTAATCACTTTTTTTTAAAATATATGTATTCATAATAAGGTTGAAGCCACACGTCTACAATTAATATTCCATTCAACCAAACTTCATGCCAAGGGACTATTTCTAATCGACAATCGAACGATTTTGAAGGTGATTGCATTTAACCGTTTGTCTGTAATTGGGATCTATCATAGGGTGGCAGCATCATGAAAATTCAAATTGTTGCGCTGTTTAGTTCGGAAAAAAATTCCGAAATTACATTGATTTGCCTATTGAAATTTAAGCTGTTTTCGGTCTTGCTGTCATCCGATGGGATCTATATGAACTTAGAGCCAATTGAAATTGCTAGAACTTTTCAATTCTAAGTGTATAATGACTTTTTGACATCTAGTTGAAATATGTACGCATTTTGTTTTTGTTTTTTTCATTTTTAACGACTTTTTGTTGGGGTCTATATGCAGGCTTTGTTATGCGCTAAATCCATCACGCTGAATAAATTCATGCGATAGATTTATGCGATAAATGTGATGCGCTCGCTTTGCGGTGAACGAGTTCTGTTGCTCTTCACTACCGCTTAGCGATGCGTTCACTGCAAAGCATGAACGTTCATACGTGAACAACTGAAGAGCAACAGACTTCGTTCACCGCAAAGCTAGCGCATCATATTTATCGCATAAATCTATCGCATGAATTTATTCAGCGTGATGGATTTAGCGCATAACAAAGCCTGTCTATATGATCTCATATACATCAAAAGTATTTTTCTAGTTCTTACATGCAAACGGTTAATTTCCTATTTATTTTTTTTATTCAACTTTGAATTGACTAATAACTTTCATTTTTATGTCATAGCTTACAGAAACGATAATTGGCTACATGGTTATTTTCGTACAATTTTATGAAATGCGTAATTTATTTGATTAATTCACTAAATCCAGAAATAAAGTTTCGATCAACTTAATTGGCCATTTGAATTTTCAATCGATATCATAATGACAAAGTACAATCAGACCAAAAGATCTATTCAGCAAAGAAGAATGTACATATTCGAAATGCATGTCATACGTGTTCCGAATTATTCAACGAGTCCTGTCGAAAATGTCTAACTCTACCTACGAGTCTAGCTCTACTAAAAATAAATGCATCAAGTTGCCGAATCAAATGGTGCGAATGTTAAATTTTTTCGATATTTGTGGCTTCAACTCTGGTTTCTCCGAACTAACACTTAACGGGAAATCGATTTGGATCATCTATTGGCTAATTACTTAAATTTTGCTTTATACTCGTTTATTATCCATCGCTTGGTGTGATTGAAGCGATAAGTGAATTTTTGCAGTATTTCGTGACCTTGGTCAGCTACTGGATCATCATTTTGGATTCCATATTCAATTGGCGTGAACATAGACAATTCTGGGAAATCGTTCATCGAATACATAAATTTCAGAAACACAATTTTCCTCTTCGAAATTACATGATCAAAATGATTGAGTTTTTTTCCATGACCATTTTTCTGATTATGATGGGACTAATAACAGATGATTTCCAATTGTTCGCAGTGGTTTTTTCATATATGATTTTAATCAAGCTATCTCAACTCCGTGTATTCTACTACTTATTCTGTGTCGAGGTTTTTTATCATCATTTGACAATTATCGACGGAGAAATTAGAGATATGACTCTTAATACCACGTCAAAGGTGGAGACGTCCGAAAATTGTTTAACCAAATCACATCGATTAAAATGGATCCGTGAATATTTTCAATGTGTTTATGAAATGACAACTCTTTTGAATCAAATATTCGGTTGGTCACAGGTGGCAGTGATACTGTTTTGTTTTCATATTTTTGTGGCCGATTTCAATGAAATTTACTAACATTACATTTATTTTCGTGATGTGTCAACGGCACACGGTGTTGGTAAGTAGTATCGTCGCATACTTTTAATGATATTATGGATTAATCAAGCAAAAATAACCACAATTCTTGTCATCATGATCGCACATATGCAGTTGATAATCATTTACATGTTTCGAAGTGCGGCAAAGTGCCTAGCAAAGGTATATTTTCAGATTTTATCTTTTTAAATTGCGTTATTGCTTTCAACGTTGACTCAATGTCATCGAGCTTCATTTCAGATAGAGAGTATACTTTTGTCTTTCAATCTTGATTTGACTTCAATTTTCCTAATAAGGATCTTGTGATTGGGGTAAACATAAAGGCTTGACAAAAGGAAACAAATATATTAAAACATCCTTTTAAGCATTCAAATTTATTTGTTTTAGCTCGAAACTACCGAATTGCATTTCATACACCATTCAATTTCACTCCATGCCAAAGGACTATTTGTGATGGACAATGGAACATTTCTCAAAGTATCAGATTGAATTACTGACCATAATTCTTTTTTAAATATAATTAATTTTTGATTGAATTTCAGTTAATGGGTGCTATAGTGGCCTACGTGGTCATATTTGTTCAGTTTTTCAAAATGTTCTGAACTATACAATTACTTTTCAATTCAATTGTTACTGAGTCACATTTTATCAACCATTCAAATCAATTCAAAAGTGGAGCCAATCCAGTTCATATTGTCACACACGTCAAACGTCAAATATTTTGGGACAAAAGCCACGACCTGTCAAAACTGCCGACTGACAAGTGGAAACGTTTCTAAGCATAAAAATACAAGTTCATTCGTGTTTTCGTTCAGATCAAAATCCAAAAAGAAAAACAAGCAAAATGAATGAGGAATCTTCCGGTAATCCGCCACCTTTTCAGATAACATTTAAAGAGGTAGTCGTTGTGCTAGCAGACTCAAATGAAATATTGATGAATAAATGTCTAAATTGCAATTTTGTGACGCGAATCAATTCGTTCTCCAAACTAGCCCATTGGTAAGTGATGCAATAATTCAACGTCATTTTGAAATCTAATGAATGCTTTGAAATATTTGCAGGAGAAATTGTCCATCGAAAATGTTATTCAAGTACATTAATCAGAACTGTGGGAGAAGGGGCTATACGGCAATCTGTATGGCTTGTCGTTCACGAATTTCTGGCACATCCAACTTCCAAATGACACAGCATAACAAAAAATGTACGGCATTAAATCAAGACGCACAGAACACAACCGACAATATAAATCACAACGATTCACTCACTGAGTTTGACGAAACAGAAACAGCTGATGGAATCGAGTATATTTCCGAAAATGCGGTGAGCCGACGTGAGATGGATGGACAACGGAAATTGCAACTGATCCAATTGAATCTTGGTGATTTAGCTGAAGGTTTTATGTTCAAATATTCAGCCGGACCAAATGGACTGGTACGACTTGCCGAATGCCAGCAATGTATGCAAAGGGTTCGGCGTCCGTTCAACGTTAAATTAGCCAGACATCGGTAAGTATGCGAAAATAAAAAAAATCGTGAATAAGAAAGAAAAAAATTTAATGATCCAAAAAAATCTTCTTCACAATAGAAAAGTCTGTCCACTCAGGCGTGAAATGCTAATTAGCGTCTCCACTCAACCGACATCATCTCAAAGTAGTCTCTCGCTATTCGACATGACAATCTCAAGTTCGATCATAGATGACGACGGTGCCACCACATCCGCCATAGCCAGTGGTACAATGCGTATATGCTTTATTTGTAACACAACTTCCAGTCCATCTTATGTCAATTTGTACGACACCATATCCGAACACTCGAAAACGCCATTATTCGACTTCGTGTGGAAGTTTCTGGATGATCAACCAACAGTTAGGGATGATTCAATCGATGGCGCCAATTCTAATTGGAGTATGCTTTGTATACGGTGCTTCAATAAAATCAATCAATATGATTGTGCGTGCGTGACAGCTGCTCGGCTTGAACAAGAGCTCCGTGACAAACTGTCACAAACGGAAGCATTTTATTCGGGGCAAAATACAATTGATGAACCGAATGAAGAACAAGAAATATTTGACAATGGATTGAATGGAGGACAACAACAAGTCAATGAACCAAACGAAACTGACCAAAGGGATGAAGTAATTTATGAAGCAGATGACGATCCACTCAATGTTCCAATCAATTTGGACAGTCCACCACCAATTCAAATGGAAACAAATGACCAACAGCAAAATGAAGAGGCTAGCGATGAAACACGATGTGTCATTGAACTAAGTGACGAAGAAGAACAAGCCATCGAATTGAGCGACGACGAATGATGGCAACAAATTAAACAACTAGTTTTAACAACTTATTTTCATCACAATACTACTTTAAGGACGTATCTCATTATTCCTTTCATTTTTACAACACAGAAAATGTATTTTCTCTATATATAACGTTAAGCTACTTTGACCTATAAATTTTTGACAAAATTAGACTTTTTCTGTTTCAACTCATCAATACATTGTTATTATGTTGAAAAACATATTCATCCTCAACTCGTTGACAATTGTTAATCTTCCCGTAAAAAGAGAATAATTTTGAATAAAATGAATTTTGAGGCAATTTGTTTTCTCTATCAACAAGAAAATCATGTAAAAAAATACAAGCACGTGAAACAACAACAATTTGGGACAAACGGTTAACTGTCAAATGTGCCGCACAACAAGTGGAACGTTTCACAAACGTTGCACACTACATTGAGCCGGTTTCATCGTTCTATTTTTTGTCTCTCTCTCATTGCGTTTTATTTCCAAAAATGTATTCTCGAAATCAATTATCACCAGATTTGATCCAAGTAAACCAATCGTTTGAACAAGTTATTGTCGATCTGGACGATGGCAATCAGTTTTTGATGTTCAAGTGTAAATGTGGGTTTATTGTTCGCAATAACATGCTCACCAAACAGGCACACTGGTAAATGGTGCTATTCATTTTTGATTTTTATTTTTATGATTTACAATGGATTTTTGTAGGAAACGATGCCCGTCGAAGTTTTCATTCCGATATCTCAGTCAGAATGAGAGCGCAGGAGGTTGCGTTATTATTTGCACCATGTGCAGCATCAAATTCATGTCGCCCGACATTATTACAATGAGAACACATTCGCAAAAATGCACAAGAATAGCACATCAGCCAACAAATTCGATGCCGTACACATTCAGCAGTTCATACACGGGCAGCAACAGCCGGTTCGACACGAATCAAACATCAAATGCTGTCAAAAACATCCATGAGAACGCGGTCAGTCGGAAGGAAATTGATGCTCAACGAAAAGTGCTGATGGCAAAAAATGGAAAGATTCCGATACCAGGTAATGTTGAATCAGCAAATTGTTTGAGATGAAAAAACGTTGTGTCAACTAAAAAATATCGTCAATTTTGCTCAAGGTTTCCGAATCAAATATGTTTCAAACGAAAATGGCCCCGAGCGATACAGCGAATGTCTCATATGCAAGACATTATTCAGAAAGCCAACGAATTGCACACTGAAGGCTCATCGGTAAGAGAAAAATTGATTTTTGTGTCTGTCATTTGTCTAAAATGTCATCTCATCTTCATCAGGGCAATGTGCTTATATCCATCCAATGTACTGATGAGCGTTTCGACACAACCAATGGTGCCATTTCCATTCACATCTCTATCATCGACACCTCATTCATTGAACGCTCATCAGCACTCACCATTTCATCCGATGAACACTCATTCGATGGTAGCTCAGCCAAGACCATCTGATTCCATGCCATTACCGCCAATGTCTCATGTCTCATCTCATCAAATGCCATCTTATCAAATGCCGTCCCATCAAATGCCGTCTCATACGATGGTTTCACAATCACCGGATTCGCAACCATTCGATTTGACGATCACCAGTTCCATCCAGGGTGATGGCATGTCAAGATTCACGATTAAGGAAAACATTTCCAGATTTACTCCGCGCTCTCCGATCAAAATGTGTTTCATCTGCAACACAGCAACCAGCGAATCGTTTGTGAGCCTATACCGTACAATGTCGATGCATTCCAACACAAAAATCTATGATTTTGTTTGGCAATTTTTGAACGATCAACCCTCGGTGCGTGACAGCTCAGCTGCGGCGGCCAATTCGAATTGGAGCCTAGTGTGTGCTGAATGTCTTGATATGATTAATGAATACGATTATGCTCGTGTCACAGCCGCCAAATTTGAGAATTGTCTTCGTGACAAACTCTCTCGAACCGAAATGTACCATGTGAACCGACGAGATAATGTGGCAATACCCTTGGAAAGCCCAATAACCAGTGCTCAACGTGAAAGTGAGAAGCAAAAGCAGCTGCAAGGGCACCAATATGCGGACAGGACACCACCAAACGAAGTCAATACAACAGTACGAGATGGTGGCGAAAGATATGCTGATGAATCGAATGATGCTGTGCATTATCTCGTTGAGCTGAGTGATGAGGAGGACAATGAAGTAGAAGAAGAAATAGAAAAGGTGGAGACCATCGAACTAAGCGACGAAGAAGATGCCTGAACGGTTCAAGGTATTTCATTATAATTTTTTGAGGTTTCATTGCTGTAATTTGTCTGATTTGTGTTCTGATTGCAGATTTTAACAATAACAACAACAAAGTGCACGAAAAAAATACCTGAAAAAATTCAACCATTAAATGGACAACAATTAACATTCCAATCAGTTTATCAAATATTTTTGGTAAACAAAGAATTTCCAATAAAAAAAAATAAACTCAACAAATTGTTTGAGTTTGAAAAGAGACAACCGTTTTGCCTTTTGGTCATCATAACCACAAATTGATTGTTTTCTCATAGAATTGATTATAATCAAAAACGAAAAAAATTTATTTGCTCCCTAGTAGTTAGTAACCACTACAATAAAACCATTTTTGATCATCTTTATAAAATAAAATGAATTGAAAATTCAAAATGAAACCATTCATTTCAATGTTGAACATTTCTTACAAGAAACATTTTGAGCATTTTGCAACGATTTGAAAATGAAACGCAATTGCCGCGAAGTAAGTATATTTGTGACATTTGACTTATTGCTCATTGTTGTAAATGTCAGTTGGCGTTGTTTACAATCCGAACTAAACCAAAATCAATTGGGAACAAACGTTTTTCCAGAACGGACGTCAACATGGAAAATCCGGCAGCGGATAAATGGATGGAGGAAAACTTTATGCATACAGCTATTTATGGACGAGATGGAAAACTGATGTTAATGGCAAAATGTAAAAAGTGTAACTCTGTGCTCAGTGATAGCAAAATTGCAAAGTTGGCTCATTGGTAAGTGCAACTGAATGATTTTCAGTTAACAACAAATTAATCTCAATTCATTTAGGAATCGTCTTTGTATCAGCAAATATCAGTTTAAATTCAACAATGTGAATAAATTTGGCGAGAAAATAATCATCATTTGTTCGGTATGCCACAAAAAGTTCAACACAATGACAACAGCTTTTATGAAGAACCATCATATTAATTGCAACGCGCAACAAATGGTAGCTCCAAAGTCACCGATTCAACCGATTGTTAGCGCAACGGGATCAAACACAAATTGTGTTGACAAACAAATGCCGTCGCTTAGCACCGATCCCAATGGATCCGCACCCAGTACACTTACTCAAAATGTTGAAACAACAATTCAACCAACAGTCATTATAGCACCATTGAATCCAAAGGTCAATGTTGTCACTGTCAATTTGGATGAATTTCAGTTCAACATGAAAACGCTGAGACGAGTTCCTGATAACAAGAAAATACAGTGTGCCGAGTGTCGAATCTGTAAGAAGCATTTCAGCATGGAACTGATATTGCAACATCGGTAAGGAAATTGGTTTAAAATCTTTATTCAGTCAATTTATCAGCATGCACATTATTTTCAGCATAAAATGTAAAATCGTTGAAGAAAGTCCGGAACCAGTTGAACAGGAGCCAGAAATATTGATTAGCGTTCAAACAGTGCACACTGAGATTGTAAACGCACAGAAGAATGTAGCATGTGTAGCCGAAAACAACATAACTCCATCTGGTACTAAAAACACTACCACCAAAACTGGTCCTGATTGCCCACCACCAGAGCCCATCAGCGATGGCAACGTCAATTCAAAGCGAACCGTCAGCAAAACCAATTCCAGATCCATACCGAAATGTTTCATTTGCGAATCTTCCAATAGCAATTCATTTACAAATTTGTACGGTACCGTTTCGGCATACACGACCACAAGCATTTACAACTTTATCTGGAAGTGGCTGGGTGGAAAACCATCGGTTAGAAACGAAAAAACCGATGCCGCTAGTTTGAAACAGGAGGTTATTTGCTCCGAATGTCTTGATACTATCAACAAATACGATGCAGCTCTGGTAACGGCCAAACAATTCAAGAAACAAATTTGTGATAAATTGACAAAAACCGAAGCAAATTTTGAAAGGGTGCAAAATGAAGGGAACATCAAAGTGATAAACAGTGTCACTAATGGTGTTTCCGTGGAAGATAATGTGCACCACTATAGTATTATAATGGATGATACCGATACCGAAACCGATACCAATGGCAATTTGCCTGAAGCATCTCAAGCTGGAACAAGCCAAATTTGCTTGGCTCAAGAATTTGATGTCATTGATTTATGTGATGATGATTGAGTCACACATAAAACAGCCAAAGAAGAAACGAATAAAGAAAAAAAATTTATCTGAAACTGATTGAAAGTTGAAGAGAAATCCCAATTGGGTTTTGCTAGAGCACTCTTCTATTAAATTTTGTAATTTTAGTGAATTGAACGACTTTATGCATTCGTTGTTTTGAAAGATATTCTATTTTTATGCCATATGCACTTAATATATATCAAATCCAAAGAGGCAAAATGATCGCAGCATTTAATACAGAATATACACCATTTGTGCATTGAGATAACATGCCAAGATTACATTGAATAAGTCTTGGTAAAATTATGAAGAATGAAATGAGAGAATATCAAAAGTGTATGCCGATTGGTTACCCATGAAATAAAGAGAGATCTCATAATAACAACGGCGTTGTGTTTCATTTTCGTTGAATGTATGTATATGTGTGTGTGATACAGTGTTATTATAACAGCCGCGTAGCGGTATCATTTTTGCAAAGCCAGCAGTTTATTTGACATCTAACACTGGAATGTCATTATTTGACTGTTGTCATAGTTTGTGATGCACACTCTTTATTGAGCTCTCTCAAACTTATCGCAGTAGTAACATTGCGTTATCAATTTTTCTCTGTAGTCGGATACATAGAAAAATATCTACTGGAAATAAATTAGGATACAAACTAAATGTAAAACTGTTATTGACTCTTTGAAAGGATCCAAAATGGAACACGTTCCACATATAGAGCAAAAAACATCAGCGGAAAGTTATGAACATATTGTGGTTATTCAACTGAACGGCGAATCCAGAACGATGTGCAAGTGTATAAATTGCAACATTGTCACGATGAATAGCAGTTTCAATCTTTGGAAGCATTGGTAAGCAAGTGAATTCCGTTAGATTTGGTTTGAATTTGATTGAATTTTTATGGTATTTCAAGGAAATACACTTGTCCGTACAAGATGTTGTTCAAATACAATTATTCAACAACGCATCCGGATAGAAGCAACGACATGTCCATTACGTGTTTGGTGTGTCAGAACATTTTTTATGAAACGACAATTGGTTTTATGACAACACATCGAAAGTATTGCAAAGAAACGACTCAAGTGGAAGTCCAACGATTGAGTCACAGCGATCGCTCAAGTCCATCGATCACAACGTCTCCTTCGCGAACAGATGATGCCTCAGAAGGCACGCAATCTGGTGATTCTCCAAACCATTCCACGACTTCTACATACCGGATTGAACCGACCAATGAGACAAGTATGCGATTTGTCATAAAGAAAACAAGTACTTTAGAAAAGAGCCGACGAAGCGCCGAATGTCAAATTTGTAAGAATCTTTTCGTTACTAGTTCAAACAACCCGTTGCAGACCTGGTAAGGAAAATGCCATAAAATTATTCATTTCGTAAAGAAAATTTAGCACATTTTTTTTAACACTTCAGTAACCAATGCAAGGATTGTCAATCGAAAACCACTGAACCCGAGCAAGATGTGTTGATAAGCGTGCAAACAGTGCACAGTACAAAACACATGGATACATCGAATCCGTTGGTCCGTAGAGCATCTTTTCCAACGGGAACCGAACTCCATGACTTTATGGGCCATGAAAATGATTCCAGCATCACAGAAGATGAAACGAACGTGTACCCATGTCGGTTGTGCAATAAGCGATACTCCACTATGGCTAACATATATTGCCATGTTCGCGCACAGCATAGTCGCTTCTTATGCAGTTTGTGTATGAACATGTTTGAACACGAGGCGGAACTGAAGGAACACATTCACAAATGCCCAAAGTCAAGTGTGAATAGGCCACAATGCGTCGTATGCAAGCATTACTTTTCGAACTCCTGGTCTTTAGCGCGGCACATTCAGGTACATGTGTCAGCCGGTGAATGGTAAAGAATATAGTATATACCCTCAATTGTTTTTTGTCTAAATTTTAATTGAATTTTTCAATTTTTTTTTTTGCAGCGACCCAGACATCTTAACCAAACAAAGGGTAAAAGACATTGAAAAAGGAGACGATGATCCCAACGAAATTCATGATTCATCTAATGTCGTGGAAAGTTCGCAAGACGAAGGTTTCCTCTCCTTGACAAATGCTGATTCATCGTTACTGCGTCAACAAAGTGAAATCTGTTTCATTTGCAATACAACGACCAGTGAATCGTTTGCGGATTTATATGGAACAACAGCGGCTCATTCTGGCAAGTGTATCTTCAATTTCGTATGGAAATTCCTAGGTGGCAAACCATCAGTACGAAATGATACAATGGATGCCTCCAGTTTGACCCAAGATGTTGTCTGCTCCGAATGCCTCGGTATGATCAATGAATATGATAAGGCGCGTGTTACTGAAAAACGGTATAAAAAACTATTGCGAAATAAACTGGCCAACACGGAAAACTATTATGAGCGGTTACAAAGTGAAGACGATGGGTGCAAAAAAGTCGGAGCAAATCGACCAGACAAATCTCAAATCGAAAAAATGAAACGGAACTAGCTAGATGATCTCAGGCACAAAATGAACCAAAGTGAATTTGAATAGATTTTGTTTCAAATATGTTAAAATTTCTTAAACAAATTATTATATTTTAGTACAATAAAAAAAAACAATTTTTTCTAACGTTTTGCTTTGAAATATTCAAATAATTGAACAAGAAAACGTTGTTGTTGGAAGCTGTGGAAAATGCCTATGCCAGGCGTGTTCTTATGAGAAGGCATCAAAAGTCATACAAACAATTGAAAAATCCTATCTCGGTGTAGTTTGTGGTGTTTCATTCAATAGGCGATCAATGCTCAATAAACACTTGGAGGAACACGGCGTTTATGGCAGTCCACAATGAAATTAAAAATAATTCATTGTCGGTGCTAGAAACCGTTCCATGGTTTGAAAAAGGAGGAAATTTTCGAAATTCCCATTCAGTTCCTATTTGTTAATTTTTTAAAAAATCTTTTTGCAATAATAATATTCTTCCAAACAAAATATTCATTCAAAATTATCTGAAATTTACGCTAAATAACAAATGCGTCCTAATATTCAAATTTGTCACAAACTGACAAACCACTGTTTTGACATTAATTTTTCCTTTTGTATTTTTGACATTAAATTTCAACAAAACTTCCTTAGGAGACTGAATATTTTGAATTTACTATTAAAAAAATTAAATAGCAGTAAAAAACAATGTCGACGCAAGTTTGTTTTATTTGTAACAGTGCATCAGAAAATTGTCAAGCTAATTTAGCTGAGATAAAATCACGATATTCCAGTTATTCGCTACGTATTTTCATAAAGAAGTTTCTACGAAATTTTGTTCCAAGTCGGAATGCCACCGATTCAACCAATTGTATCTGCGCCGAGTGCTTGAAACAAGTCAATGAATATGATGCCCTGTGTGTTAAAGCAAAGATGATCGAAGATTATTTACACACTTTACTGGTAAACAGTGATAAATCCTGGCATGCAGCACAAAACACAACGATTGACAACGATGATGTGAAATTCATTGAAATACATGAAACCAAGCCTGTTGTGCAAATGTATTTATTGGAATATTGAAATGGTTTGTTGGACATTGTTTAATATTTTATTTTTATTTTAGAGAAAAAGCACCAATCGAAAATTTCGCATCAACCTCCTTAGACCCAAAAGAAAAAACACCGCATAAATGCCTTAATTGCGGTGAAAAGTTTGAGTACAAAATTGATTTTCTTGTAAGTCATGAACGTTTTATTTTAGTTTAGTGAATGTTCTTTTGATTAAACGTCTCTTCTTGTTTCATTTTTTTTAGCATCATGAGCGAACCCATAAAAAGGATCAAAGAACAGATGGTTTGAAATGCGCTTTGTGCTCAGTGGTTTCCGAAAATGAGGCTGCCAGAGGTTTACCATCACTTCAATGTACACAATGCAAAAAGACATTTACCCAGAGAAAACATTTTGCAGCACATATGTTGAGACATGTGAGTGTACTTTTATATTGAAGCGATTGTTTCAATTTGATTTTTGAAAGTATTATTTCATTATCATTTAGAAAAACCGTCAGAATTATCAGTGTGAAATGTGCGGAAAACTATTTTCATGTCAACCAACTTTGCAATCACATATGAAGAGTCACAGTGAAGTACGCACTCGAGTGTGCCACATTTGTTCAAAAGGATTCAAGCTTACGCATAATCTTAAAAAACATCTGGACGTTGCACATGTAAGGGACCATCGCTAAGTAGTTACAGTCTCTCATTTATATTGAAATAATTCATTCAAAAGGTTGCAATCAGAATAGTAACTAATGCCTCTATTTTGTTACCGAAATTTCAGAAAGGAGAAAAGTGATTCAGTACAAAAAGGCATCAGTACAACAGAGATATTAAGGCGATTGGAGATTCGATGCAATTATTTGCTTCTGAATAAAATTTACTTTTGTTATACTTCCATGAAGAGTATTAAAAGTAGTCAGTTGTTCGTTATGTAGAAGAAATATATTATGGAAAAAATCTCAATAATTGTTGGTTTTGCCAGAGAAAACCGTACTTATTTTCAAAAAAATTCAATTCATGCCTTACAGCAACCGAATTTGAAAATGTCTCAAAATTATGACACTAAATATATTCGCAAATTGTGACATACGCTGCGAGCTGTCACTTTGACATTTTGATGCATCAAAGTTTGGTTGGATGTAAATAAAGAAGTTTTTCTCTTGCAAAAAGATTTCATATTTTTTTTGTTTCAAAAATGAGTCTTTAACAAAGAGAACGCACAATAAATCTGTATTTTAAAATAGTTGGAATTGCTATTGTCACAAAGAAAAATGGATATAGCAATAAAGTGTTTTGTTTGTCACGTAAAAACGGACGATTGGCGTAATGATTTGCAAGGATTGAAGTCGCAGCATTCATGTACCTTTGTCACGGACTTTATTAAGAAAATTCTTGGCGATTTTGATTTAAAACGAAATGTGGACGATGAATCGAATTGCATTTGTGCCGATTGTCTCAATCGATTTGAGGAATACGACTGGACGTGCACAATGGCCAAACAATACGAAAAAGAATTATACGATTTGCTTGTGAAAACCGATGAATTGTTCAATGCCGAGCCCACAGTGGATGCTGTAGATGACATGGATACAAAAACAAAAATTGCCAAAACGTTTGGTGACCCATTGACAGATTTCCCTGTCGGGCTACCGATTCGAAATGACGAGCTTGATGGTGGTGATGATGATTTGATAAAAGTGATGGTTGAACCACTCATTGTGTCGATGCTAAAAGACAAACTATCCGACGACGAGCTACCGGAGAATAAAGAGTTGGAACCACCATACAATGAGGAGTTGGATAGCGGAGCTGTTGAAACTCAACCAGATGATCCAGATTTTGATTGCAAGGCCGAAGATGATGATGGTTCTAGCTTCGATGATAACGAGGATGACGATTACGTTCCACAAAAACGGAAAGTAAAACCACGAAAACCAACGAAAATGGTGCCAAATGTCAAAACCGAAGACGGTGAAGCACCAGTTCGGAAGAAACGCGGTCGTAAACCGAAGATCAAAGATGAACAAGATAGCAAACCACGCAGAAAACGAGAGAAAAAAACACACGAATGCAAAGACTGTGAAAAAGTGTTCGACAAATTGGTGGATTATGTGGTAAGTCTCTGTTAAAATCGGCATTTTATGGTTCGTTCTAGCTTTGAAAAATGATTCACGGGATTTTGCACCGGAAAATTTTCCGTGTGAATGCAAAAACCCGTGTGATATTTTCCGTGTCTAGATTTACCGCTCAATTTAGGTGTCTAGGTTTACCGTAAGACAAATTCTGTGCAGTCATTTTACTGCCTTGAGTGATTTTGGTCACGGAAAAAAGTTTGACACAAATCATTTTGACAGTCGAAAAAGTTGCATGACGCGTCTTAGGTTATAGAATTATAATTCGCAATGGATCCAGAATGTAAATTTATCTGTTTCGCTGCACTTTTGGTGACTTTGATGGCATTAATCGTACAAAGACGTAGAAAAAGAGAAATGGTAAAACAGTACTTAAAAGTTAAACCGCTGCATTTTCATTCCTACTTCATTCGTATAGATCAACATTCGCGCTTCTTCATGCTCTCCATTTGCACAAAATTGATGAAAATTTCAGTGAACTTTTTTCAACTCCTCATCTTAACCCTCAACTGCATGAATTTTTCCTAGGACTGGGAGTACTGGTATTTGGTTGATTTTTGGCCATAGATAACGAAACAAATATTCATAATCCTAGATTTCCCATGGTTTAGTCAGGAAATGCGATAGAAATAAGTCAGAGAACAATGAAATCCATTGTTTAAAAGTGTCAAAAATATGTCTAATTTAGAAACCGAATAATTTATTTTGTCAAATTTTCGTTTTCGTGCACATTTTTGTTTATAACTCACCAATCGTACGACATAGACAAATGACGCCAAAGACAAAAATAAAGAAAAAACATTGACAAATAAAAATTCCCCTTGAAGCAATGTCATCCGCCGTACGATTCACATTATACAGGTGTTTAAATGATGCCCGCCAAAAGGCGGGCTTATGCAGTTGAGGGTTAACATATTCCAATTTCATTTTACAGGCTCATCGAAAATGGCATCGTGAATCGTTGATTCCAGAATTCCGCTGCAGCAAATGCTTTTTCATATCAGAAAATCAAGAAGCATTTGAAGCACATGCGAAACTACACGAAAACAAACCTCCATTGCAATGTGTATTCTGTAATTTGACGTTTACTTTCAAAGGTACACTGACCAAACACACAAGAATTCATGTAAGTTGACGCTGTGTTGTGAAACATTTTCTCCATAAAATTCATTCTTAAAAGTTCATTTTGTTTTAAATTGAATTTTGCTTCTATTTTCAGTCCAATCAGCGCAATTATCAATGCAGCATGTGTGGCAAGCAGTTCTTACGTTCTATCTCACTCAACACCCATATGAAGGTACCTACTAAAAATGAGAAATGTTTTTTCTGTTTGAAGAATGGAATTATTATTAATAATTGTCTTATTTTTGTAGTATCACCTGAACATGAAGACCAAACAATGTCCGCACTGTCCGATGGTGTTTGTTGAAACGAAAAATCTCACACGCCATCTGAAAACACATGTGAGTCTCTACAGACCATCCAACGATGGTCCGATGTTTGTTTTATTTATCAAATTGTTCCATTTTTTCAATTTACAGACGCTTGAAAAACCATACTCATGTAGCATATGCGGTCGAAGGTTCGCGTACAGCTACAACGTTCGGTAAGGATTTAATTTGAAATAAAAAAATTTCGTTGCATTCTAAATTGATCTCCTTGACATTCCAGACCGCATGAACAAACACACACCGATCGAAATGTATATCGGAAGTTCAAATGCACAGTAACCGATTGTAAATCGGCCTTTGATAGTAAAGCCAAGCTCAACACTCATCTACAGAAAAGCCATGCAATGACATCACTCATTTACGAAAACACAAACAATCCAACACGATTGGGCCTATAAATCATCTAATTCAACATTTAATCTATTTTATGTAAACTAGTATAAGAAAAATTCTTCAATATTACAACAAAATAAAGGGTCTTACGGATGTAGGATGAACTTATCTAAGAAAGATTGAAACTTCTTTTGAATAAAGAAAATTACCTTTTTTATTTATAAAACAAATGACCTACTTACAATAGTTGTCGAAGTTATGTTGATTTTCACTACGGTTAAGGAGAAACCGGAAACGTTCGAGCACAAAATTGACCCCATCGTTTGAACCATAACCATCATTCGTTGGGTGAATGATTTCTTTATTTTGATTTCGTGATTTTTTGAGTGATTTTTTTGGGTGGGATTTTATGATTTGGTTAAAAATCAAGGAAATCATGAAGATCCTGAATATCCGGTTGTCATTCGTTGGGTTGGGTAGGTTAAATCAATAAGTGTTTATTATTTTATTTATAATAATTTCAAGATTTCCCACAATTTGGATCTGTTCGAATGCCTAAAAATCATTCCGACGTATTTAGAAAGAACAAACAAAAACGGTTAATTGGTTCATTCACTGGTTGCCATAGAATTTATTGTCACCTACTGTAATTACAGTCTAACTAGTTTTTTTTCGTATTTACAATTCTATCGAAATTGGCTGGAAAAATAATGGAATTAATATTTGGTGAACGAATGATAAATGAGATTTCGAGCGTGTCATTGCTTCTCTAGCAAAACCGCTGAATCATAAAGGGTGGGTAATGTGGTAAGTTTCCAATTGCCTTCGGTTAGTTTCCATTTGTGCTTCTCTTCTTCTGGATCATCCTCCTCGATCACTTTCATTTTTCCACTCAAATGGACTTTGGTCAAGTGGTTGCCTTTCTCTAAAAACTGATTCACCTTTTCGACGGAAAATCTGCATCCATCTATGGATATTTCAGTCAATTTGGTGAGTTTATTCACAATTTTCAGTAGACGCTGATCAATGCACAGACAATCATTTTCCGAAACAATTGTAAGTTTTTCGATGGTTGAATTTTCGAGAACAAACTGATACCATACTTCATTAACGCGACCCTTCAATGTGCACTCTTTGAGGCGATTAAACGTTAGTATGGTTGCACGTTCGGTATTGTATCTCTCGAGATCGGAATTTATGATTGAAATGGTGAGTTGTTGAACACTCTCAAACTGGATAACATCCGTATATTTATGTACTTGTGTTGGACTATAGACGATTTCCAAGGCTTCAAGTTGTTTCAATTGCGTGCTGACATGCTTCCATGTATTCGGGTCACAGCCAGACAGGTTTAATCTTCGAAGTTGTGGGTTCAAATCAATAACCACCATCAGATTTCTACGCGTAATGCGTGATTGAATGAAAGCCAAAGGGACGACACGTTTTGACGAAGTCCACGGCGAACTCATGAACTATCGAAAAGTCAATACAAAATGATACGAGAGTTCGTGGCGCTGCGAGCGCTCAAATGATGTTTGTACTGAAGTGTCGTCAGCTTGATGAAAGCATATGCTCTGATTTTCAAATACACCAAATGTGGAAATGATACTTCAATGCTGTCAGGATCAGTGACTTCTTCGGGACACAATTCAAGCCAACGCATTTGTGGAAAGAGTCTATTTAGTTTTAATCTTTGCCCCAATTTGCCGCCGATGATGGACACTCTTTGAACATTTTTGAACACCACCTCGTCTCCAGTCAACATGCGCTTTGTAATTTCACGAGTGATGTCAACGATTCGGAACAGCATCTGAAGGTGTCATCTACCAGGTCATCGAAAGATTCTGAACCGTCAAAATCAATCAACAAATCCGAAATTAGGTGGCCGAAGCAACGTACAACCTGGGATGCTTGGACTTTTTCATTGATCTCAATGCTGTCATCCGTATATTTGATGGGCGAACAACCGCTTGAAAATAGGGTCATATAAATGAACACTCGTCTTGAGTGGCAATCTTGGAAAAACAATCGACCGGCTTGTGGAGTGAGTCGACGGTTTGGTAAGTCCAAATGTTCTTCTGTTTCGGCCAAATTGAGTAAGTCTAGCGGATCCAATGAGTGAAATATGAATTCGAGGCAATTGTCTGGTAATTCGGTGATATTTTTCGTTCGTTGGTGGTTTGCAGCCTCTTGTGTTTTGTTGGCCATTATTTAGTCAGACCCGACTCGGTCAGACCTGATATTTTTTAACAAAATAATTCCAGCAACGATATGAAGATCAAGAAAGAGATGTTGGGTGTGACAGCGATGTTAACAATATTTCTAATAATAAAAGTGATAATGAAATTGTCTGTCTCAAAATGTAATGTCACATTGTGCCAAATATCATTGAATGTCAATAGAGGGGAGGGTTTATTGCTTTTGACACAATCCACACGTATAATTGCAAATTTCGAAACGATGGAAATTGAATTCTCAAAAACCATAATAAGCGAGATATTTTCCGGCTCTATTGTTCTATACGAATGATATTTTCGAGTTTCCTCACCGAGCTGATCTAAGAGAAGAATTTAACTCACGTAGAGATGTATGAAAATGCTGAAAACAACTTATCCATACCTTTGCTTGACGTTGAAAAATGATTTGCTTTTTTTATTGTTGCTACATACAGTTTTTTTTTATTTTCATGTCCTTAAAATATTTTGCTTGAAAAATAATGAACAATATACTTAATGATGAATTATAAGTAACGGATAATTTTTCAAATATATCCGAAGCTGTATTTAGAATATATTTTAAATAAACCATAATTTAAATAAATAAATCAAACTAGATTGTACCTCGTCTTTCAAGTAAAACCGAAGCCAAATCACATTCAAGATACCGTGTGGGTCTGAAATTATCCTTTTTAGTAAGTATCCAATTATCTGTGTTAAATTCTCGCTTATGCATCTTCTCTTCTGGGTGTAGAACAAGTAATTCCTGTTCTTTCCACCTAGCTGGCATTATGTTTCCGATCAAATGAACTCTGGTCAAATAGTTGCCTTTCTCTAAAAACTGATTCACCTTTTCGACGGAAAATCTGCATCCATCTATGGATATTTCAGTCAATTTTGTGAGTTTATTCACAATTTGCAGTAGACGCTGATCAATGCACAGACAATCATTTTCCGAAACAATTGTAAGTTTTTCGATGGTTGAATTTTCGAGAACAAACTGATACCATACGTCATTAACGCGACCCTTCAATGTGCACTCTTTGAGGCGATTAAACGTTAGTATGGTTGCACGTTCGGCATTGTATCTCTCGAGATCGGAATTTATGATTGAAATGGTGAGTTGTTGGACACTCTCAAACTGGATAACATCCGTATATTTATGTACTAGTATTGGGCTATAGACAATATCTAAGGCTTCAAGTTGATTCAAGTTCATGCTGACATGATTCCATGTATTTGGGTCACAATCAGATAACAGGTTTAATCGTCGAAGTTGTGGGTTCAAATCAATAACCACCATCAGATTTCTCCTAGTTATGTTTTGTGATTCAATGTAAGCATATGCTTTAATTTTCAAATACTCTAAATGTGGAAAAGTTTCTTGGATGCACTCTGGATCGGTGACTTCTTCGGGACACAATTCAAGCCAACGCATTTCTGGAAAAAGTCGATTTAGTTTTAAACCAAGTCCCAATTTACCACCGATGATAGACACTTTTCGGACATTTTTGAACACCACCTCCTCACCGATCAACATTTGCTATGCGATCCCTCGCAGCGAAAATGACACCAACGACTCTGAGCAACATCTGAAGGTGTCATCTACCAAGTCGTCGACTGGTTCGGATGTGTCAAGATCGATCAATAAATCCGAAATCAGGTGGCCGAAGCAACGCACAACCTGGGATGCTTGGACTTTTTCATTGATTTCAATGCTGTCATTCGTATATTTGATGGGCGAGCAGCTGCTTGAAAAGAGATTCATATAAATGAACACTCGTCTGGAGTGGCAATCTTGGAAAAACAATCGACTGGCTTGTGGAGTGAGTCGACGGTTTGGTAAGTCTAAATGTTCTTCTGTTTCGGCCAAATTGAGTAAGTCTAGCGGATCCAAAAACCGAAAGATCGATTCCAGACATACATCAGGTAGTTCGGTGATATTTTTCATTCGCTGCTGGTTTGGAATATTTTGTATTTTATATGCCATGATTCTGCGATACACCTGAAAATCAATTGAGGGAAATAATACAAATTACACCATGTTACCGATACAGCGAACTAAATTTGATTTTTCGGAACATAAAACTTGGATACTTTGATATTTTGCTTCATAGCACACTTACGCTGAAAATTGATGGTTTTACGTGTCAAAGTGATTAACAATTCTTACTTGAATCGGTCAAAAATTGAAATTATAGAAGTTTATTGGGTTTTCCACACGTATTTGATTGTTGTTTGTATGCAACGTTGCATGAAATTTCAAACTTTATAATTCACAGAATGTCTGATTCAAATGAAACAAATATATATTAATACTTAGAAATATTAGGAGCGAAAAATATTTATTACGTCGAACGATGTATAATCGATGTGACACTGCTTAGATACGGAATTTATTTGTCCCAAAATGTAATGTCACAATGTGTCAAATGTCGCCGAATGTCAAGGTGAGAGTTTTTGTTTTGTTTCGAAGCAATCAATAACAGCAACACAAATTGTGAGACAATTTTTGCCAATTTGTTATGTGAAACGAGTTATTTGAGGCCAAATCGAAAATGACGAAAGAAGTGTGTTTCATTTGCAACACTGAATCGGATGATTTGTGGAAAATGAATGAAGTCTCTTCACAACACACGAATACTCCAATCGTCGAATTGTTGAAGGAGATTCTAGGTGTTTTTGACATAAAACGAACCATCGACTGTGAAAGCAATTGTATTTGTTCAGATTGTTTCAATCGTTTGGAGGAATATGATTGGGCTTGTGACATAGCCAAAAAACGGGAAAAAGATATAAGCGATACATTTCTAAAGACCGAAACACTTTATCCCAAATTGGGTGAAAGTAAGACGATTGAGAATGTGAGCAAAAAAATCGACTCAAGTGTTGATCTATTGCCAAAAGTAGAAGCCGGGCGTATTCTTTCGTTTGAATTTCGATCAACAACGATACGAAAAATTACTATTGATAAAACGCAGATAAAATGCGACCCACCAGAGAGGAATGTCATTGGGGAATCAAAAGAAGTGGTTGACATCGTGGATGATAGCTCAGGACATGAACAAGAATATGATATGGATATGGATATGGATAGTGGAAGTGATTTTGAATGCACACCAAACAAGACATCAACAAGTAGTATATCAAAAGAAATAGTCGTTCCAACCACATCACGTTCAAATCCCAGAAAAAGGCGCAAAAAGAATACTGGGGCTGATGACAACGAGTCGTCGAACGAAGATGAATTGCCCACACCTAAAAACAGGCATGAGTGTTTGTATTGTGGACAGGCATTCGCCAGAAAATCCGATTATATTGTAAGATTTTGAACAAATTTTTTGGATATTTCATGTGTTAACATTGGATTTGCTCTATTTAGACGCACGTACGATGGCATAAAAAGCAACAGAAGCCTCGATTTAGCTGCGATATGTGTTCCTTTGTCCTGGATGACCAGGCATCATTTGATGCCCACAAAAAGCTTCATGAAAATACACCAAAACTTGAATGTGTGATTTGCAATAGAGTCGTTTCAACAAGGGGAAATTTAACGGCCCATATGCGAGTTCATGTGAGTTTTTGTTGTTGTTAGAACAATCCTGCTATTTCAAATACGTTTCTGGTATACAAATTCATCGTAATTAAACCGATTTTTGTTCAAATTCTTCTAATGGACCATCATTTTTGATTGCACAGGGCACGCCGAACCATATTTGTCATATATGTGGCAAGGAATTCATTCACAATACTTCTTTCGATGCACACATGAAATTTCATGACAACAGCCGATTGTTCAGGTGCAAGGGGATGGACATCAATGCTAATATTCTATTTTCGTGCAAATTTCTTTTGTCTAATGCATTTTAAATAGAGATTTGTAGCTCCATAAAAAATTTCTTACATTAATGTATTGAATCAATGTAAATCAAATGGCAATTTTATTTTTGGTGATTTTTGAGTGTTTGTAAACAAATTCTACATCTGAAATACATTGTTCCTATGTAATTCTCATGCGAGAGCGTTGCCCATAAGGAATACACAGCACAGTATATTACTTATGGAAGAGCGCCGCTGTAGATTAACGGTACTGTGTGCATAAGAAGTGTACGGAAATCTCCATTTGAAATGCATTGAACCAATATATTTCAAATGGGCAGCTGTATTTCCTCTAATATTTCATTTTTTTTTTGATAATTTTACTAATATTTCACTAGTATTCTAATGGTGTCTAACCCTTTGTTCAGTTGTCAACAGTGTCCTATGAAATTCAACATCGCCACCAATTTGAAAAACCACATGCAGACTCATGTAAAATTTCCATCTCGCATTATTTTCCGATTTACGTTTCTTTCGTATTTCGTTTGATTAAATAGACTGCATTTGTTCCCATTGTTCACAGAGGCAACATAAGCCATACGCATGTAAAATATGTGGGAGTCGATTTGGATACTTGGGAAATATGAGAGCGCACGAGAAGACACACTCATCAACCGAAAAAAGTCACAAATGCTCCGTGTGCGATGCACAGTTTGCAACGCAATCCAAAATGATTCAGCACATGGACAAACTCCATTCGACATCGGTATTGCATAAAAAAGAAAAGAGAAAAAGAAGTCATGTCTACAATTTTGTATCGCCAACGAATGAATGTGATCAAAATGAATAAAATTTGCAATAAAGATGTGGGTGTTTATTTAAATTAAGCTTCTAAGCATTATGATGATCTTGAATGATTCTTTCTTTTTCTTCTATTTTGATTTATTTTCGCAAAAGTAATTGTTCTTCCAACAATAAATCATTCAATAGATAATTTTTCTGAGATATTGAGCTTGAAACCGAAATTGTACAAAGTAAAACCGATTAAATTAGATTATTGCTAGTTTTGTGTTCGTTATTCTAATAACTAGTGATAAGCGGCGGCTCATTTCCATGGCACATATTTTCTGTCGTTGGTTAGTAGCTCCTTGATGAATGCCACACCCTTCGGTAGACTCTTTATCTCCTCATTCAACACCCGGCGTGGATTTGTTCGCACATTTCGCCATTCGGTGCTATCGATATCGCTTAGTTCGATGATGTAATCCTGGTAGCTTTCCGTCTTGAAGTCCAACATGGTTTTCATGATGTAGATTAAACTGTAATGATTGAATGATTAACATTAATTCTAGTTATGGTCGAATTCGTCTCAAATCCAATTTTCTTACCCATTTTCTTCTTTGATCAGTGCATTGACTTTCCGGCAAATTTGATGTATTTCTTTGACTTTGTTCTGAGCTTTGACACAGTACTCGTTCATTTTATCATCAAACTCCGATAAATATGCACTTGTTTCACACAATGGCAATAGATTGCTTGGCAATTTGGAATTAAGCTCTTGCACTTCGAGAAGGAACGGCGCATACGTTCTTTGGCTCATGTGTTTCGGACAGAATTGACGATTGATTTTCGTGAACTTTAGCGCTCCATACATCTCAACACTATTCTCAGTTGTGTTTGGGTCGTAGATGAGGCAGACTTTGAACACATGCATCAGATTGTTTCGCAGATGAATATTGCCTTGGAAGAACCAAATGTCATCGAATGTCCAATTCTTCAGCATGCTGGAAATAAAAGAATCGTTTATGCAATTGATATGGAACAATTATGGGCAAAATGAACTAAATTCCGATATTTTTCTTAGATTTTTCTCCAAAAATTAAGCAAAACATGCAAACCTACCGGCATTTGTTCAGTGTTAAAATGAAAATGTCTGGAATAGTTGGCAAATATGCGCCGACCACACGCTGCTCCCACATACGATCGATCTCCGCTTCTTGCTCTTCACTGAAATTCAGAGTAAAATTTTAATTTTTCGATGGAAAATTGTGTACCAAAAACGACATTTTATGTCGAGTTGCTCTTGTGAAAAAGCTTATTATCTCAGAATTTGACCACTTACTCTTCCCATTTCATTTTGTTCATATACAGAAATTTCCATGATGGCGCTTCAACATTTTGTGATACCAGATCATCGTCGTTGTTGTTATTGTCGAAATTAAGATCGATGCTTTCAATTTCCCCTCTCTCAAATTTGTCTCGTTCTTCTTCCCATTGTTTCGCTTTGCGTTTTATTTGATCCATGCGATTGCAGAAATCTTTGAACACATCTTGTGGTGTGGCCAATCCAACCAGTTTATCATAGCCAGAAAAGTCAATCTTAATTTCACTCAATGGTTTATCGGCAGTTGATTTCGATAGATATGATGTTTCATCGGCTTCACAGTTCGATCCAATGCTGCTGCCTCTGCGTTGCATGATGCTTGAACGGCTGATTGGAGCCATTGAAATATGTTGAGGCGGCTCCATTGCAACATTTTTGGTTGATTCCATTGGTATATGTTTGGGTGCTGCTGCTGCTACTGCTTCTTCTTCTTCGTTCACAACAGATTCACTTTGATTCGCCTCGGCTGAAGTGTTGTTCACTTCAAAAACGTTGCTATGACGCAGTCGGCTGGATTTCTTAAAGGCTTGTATTTCGTCGGCTTTTAATGTATCTGACAATGATGGTGGCATTGGCTCTGTCGTCAATGTGTGATCCATCCCTTTCATCGCGAAATCATGTGCACTGTATCGCATGCTTGGCATGTTGATATCGCTGTGCAAACTTAACTTGCTCAAACTGCAACTTTTGTTGGAGACTGATCCGTGTTTTCGCTCAACAAAATCATCAATTTCCAGACTTTCCAGTGAAATGGCCAAATCGAGTTTGGTGTTGCAAATTTGGTCGTCTTCATCATCATCATCTTCAATGAATGTGAGCTGCTTCGATTCTTCCAAACCACTTGAAGTGTTTTTATAATCAAATGGTGAATCATTCAGTGCGATCGATTCATTTTTGACGATGGTTAAACGCTTGTTATCTTCGACTCTGGTCGGCATTGGGTTGTCATCAATAGAATCATCGATTTTGATTGGGGTGATTTGTATTATAGACTGTGTCATTAAGTTACTCACTCGGTTCAGTTCGGTTTTTAGCGTTGGTTCCACGGAAATAGTCATTTCCTGGAAGCATGTTCTTCTTTTTGTATCAAGTGCAGCTGCAACGGCTGCTATTTGTGGATCAACAATTGAAGAGTCACTGATCTCAATCGGAAGTGTGTTTGTTTCGTTGGCCTCATCCAATTTGCTGTCATTCTGAATGGTCGCATGGAATAGTACCGTTCCACGGCGTGCCTCAATTGGCTCTTGCTTGAATTCAGACACTAGCGTTTCTTCTTTGCTGTTATTAGTCAAATCCAGCGAAGACAAATCACTTGCGTGTGTCGTTTCAATCAATGTCGGATCATTCTCCTTATCAATGCCAAGGTAAAATGGTGTCTTGTTGAGATTGTACTTTTTGGCCGTTGGCACCGGTGAAACTTCGCTCATATCCAAATCGCATGAATCACGAATCGTTTGTTGCTTGGTTTGATTGAAGATTTGAACTTGTTTTACCGGCACTTGAACTGGAGCTTCATTGATTTTGCCGCCAACGAATGTCTGATCGATATCTGAGCCCAAATGAAGCGTATTGTTTTCGATTTTCGCACTCTGAATGGATGTGTCGCAATCGATGTCAGTCGATCTACTATAATTGCCATCATTCAGCCGGGTTGAATGCAACGGATGATATGATATACACATTGAATTCAAGTCCGCACCTCTGGTCAATTCAAAAGCATCGCTTCGATCAAACAATCTCGTTGCATTTTTGCTGGGCGATTTACAAATGACTGATTTTCGTGTCGATGGTTTGAATGCTTCGGTATTCTGCAAGTCCATTGATATATCGCCGAAAATGGTTTTATTGTTGTATGTCTGAGCGGCTGATTTGGTTGTTGAATCAAAGGACATTTCTCGTAGTTCGTTTATTGTCATTCGGCTGGACGATTGCGTCGGCTTCTTTGAATTGGCCGGTTGAGTGACAGGCAAATTATTCCAATGCATCGTGTCCAATGACATGTCGAGTGCGAGATTTTCGGTCATTTGACGTGGATTCATACCAAATGTTGGCGTATCTAGGGAAACATCTTGCGCTTTATGTGTGGTTTGACGACGCGTTGGCTGATTTTTCAGTTCTGACGGCAGAAACTCGATTGACATATCCGAAAGTTGTGCACAATTTGACGACTCATTTTTGTCGAATGACATTTGGAACGAGTCATGAATTGTTGCGCGTTTACTTGGCTGCAAAATCGATTTTGTTGCTGAAATTTGCTGCAGAATTGGGGATTCAACCATGGCTCGTTCGCCAAGTATCGTATCACGACGAGTCGATGCCGTTTTCGTTGATATCGATGCCAAAATACTTTGCTTTGGTATTGGTGACTCGACCATGGCTCGTTCATCAAGTATCGTATCACGACGAGTCGATGCCGTTTTCGTTGATGTCGATGCCAAAATACTTTGCTGTGGTATTGGTGACTCGACCATGGCTCGTTCACCAAGTATCGTATCACGACGAGTTTGGCGATCATTTGTAGTCTTCTTCTGATTATTCGATTTGGTCTCAGCATCGATGGACATTTCATGTGATTCGTGGATAGTTGTACGTTTTTTTGACTGTGAAATTGATTTCGATGCCAAAATACTTTGCTGTGGAACTGGAGACTCAACAATATCCTCTGTTCTGAGTATCGTTTCACGGCGAGCTTTTGCCGTTTTCTCAGCTTGAACGTTCGATTTAGTCGCATCATCAATATCCACTTCCATTTTGTGTGGTTCATGGATTGTTTTTCGCGTGTTTGACTTTTGCGACAACCCATTTGGTTGGACAGCAGGAAGTAATTCGATCACCTGACTCTTGTCAAACTGCATGTCCACCGATTGGTTCACAGTTTGTCGGCGATTGTTTGTTTCACTCTTTGCTTTGGCGATCAAGTTGTTCTGCTGCAGAAAATCTCTGTATTTTGAACCAAATTGGGCTGATTTTGTTTCCAATTCTTCGGTTTGCAGTGTTGGCTCAACGCCCGAGATATCCATGTTATCAGAACCACTGGTCTTCTCTCCTACGGTCATCGTTTCGATTGACTCCGATTTACGAGCAAAGTTAAACAAACTCGGTTTGAAGCATGACGCTCTAGCGCTTGAATTGAACGATGATACCGAGAACAGTGGTTTTGATGGTGCCGGTTTGGTTGGCGGTTGCATTACTAGAGAAAATTCTATATCTGTATCGTTACCCATCATTATATTCTCCTTTTGGTCTTCGCTGTACGATATGCGTAGAATCGACGGTCTTGCCGTACTAACTGGTTTCTTCTCTTCATTGGCCGGTGCCGATGGCAGTGCACTGGTAATATCCATTCCAACCGAATCATTGCGTGTCGTTTGCAGGGTGGCCGACATCGAATTAGAACGTATCGACTGGAGCGTAATCTGTTCATTGCTAAGCACATGCTTCTCAGTTGATACATCATACGTTTCACCCCATACAATGGCCGTGTTTTCATTCCCGAAAAACTCACTGAAACAAACAGTTTTGTCGAATTGGTATACTCGTTTTGGTTGTAATATTGATTTCACTATTCTCACTGTACTTACCGCACATTGTGCTTGCCCGAAAATGAAATACGACGCGATGCTCGGCGTGCAGTGTTCTCTCTTTGTGGACTTTTGGGGCTTAAACTACGTGACCTTCTTTTCTTTAAAATCTGTAAAATGACACACAATAACATTGATTAATGAACTGCATTTTGTAAATAAACAAGCTTGTATAAACAATGGACGTTTCCGTTCTGGGTTATGTTCTTCACTTTTTTGTACGCAAAATGTTCAGAAAAACAACAAGAAATTCAATTTAGTAAATGCCAAAAATCTGCTTTTGATATCTGTAGCTGCATATTTTGTCTATAGAAACAATCAGTTGTTTTGGCGCAAACATATTCGTTTGAACACTTATAACTCATTTAGCGAGCTATGCACCGCCAAAAATGTACTGGGGATTTTTTTGATGCATCACAGAAAATAACACGTTTGCATGCGATCAAAGCATACGATTTGAAGGGCAACAGTGACTTGTGCCAAAACCATTGTTCTACGCTAATGCTCACAAAAATGCGGTAAGCTGCTCTGAGCAGCTGGTTGACTTGTAATTTCCGCTTTCACGAATAAAATAATATCGGATGATCTATTTTGGTATCCAATTCAGGTGGTGTTCGGGATTTTTTTCGAAGAGCAAACAAATCATTTTTGAAATTGAAAAGGAGTTTTAATGAGTGGAAATTTCGTTTTTGGCTTAAAGGTGGTGGACTACATTTGATTTTTGCGGAACATTTCAGTAATTTTTGTTTCCAAACATATTTGTTCCCGGTGTTTTTCTACACTTTTTCCTCGATTCATCTCCATTGTATTATGTTTTTTTCAATTACCGTCCGAACAATCACTTCAGAACCCGTGTTTTATTGTCACTGAATCATTCCATAAAACATCAAATCTATTGAATTTAATCTATGAATCATTTGAGTCAACTGTAAATACTTACACTACAACGCCGCTTCTCTTGTGGCTGTTGCATCTTAGCTGTCTTACACCAAATCTCAAAAACAATGAAATATTTCTACGAAAAATTACGACCAAACACAAATCCAACTAAAATAAATTGACTTAAAACTTAAAATTCACTTTTTTCCCTGCTTAATACACAGAAGTCATGCTAAAAATTGGTGTTTACTCTGCAACGGGACAATATTCGGTTGTGATGCACTCGTTTACGTTCAGTTCAATGACAATTTACGTTCTAACCGAATGTCAAAATGAAACCCAAACATCGCATCAGTAAAAAGCTGTTTGAAAATTTAAATCGGTGCTGTCCCTATCGGGCGACGCCATGCGATTTGTGACAGATGCAGTGTTACCACACAAACAATACGACTAACGTACCAATGCTCTAACCGATGGCTTGAAAATGTACGAAGAATGAAAATTTAAAGAAAAAAACACAAAAAAATTTAGTTTCTTTATTAATTTATTCGATTGCATCAAAATTGCAAATGGGAAATGTACAGTACATTCTTTGAAAATGTAGAAAAACATTAGTCTAAGAATTAATGTGTAAACTCAATTTATTGTAACTTTCTGCTCCGATATATACATACTTTTTCACATTAAAATTTCCAAAAACATCTCGATCGATGTAGTAGCATTCCTACGCGCACGCAAGAGGGAGCAAATTTACAGAAAGATACACGTTCTTATTGCGAAACTTTGAGCCGTGTGTTGCATTTTGGATTCATTAGTAACGATGCGAATGTTTAAAAAAAACTAATTGCGAAATATATGCATATTTTAAAAAAATAATACGAATTTGTACAGATTTAAAATGAAAATCCGTTTGAAATGAACACATCGATAAAAAAAAACTATGTTCATTTCGTCGTCGACTTGTCAGCAGCGATAAAAAGTGTGTGTTGGCCTCCCGATGATACGTTGATTACTTCTCGGTCTTTCACTTGGACGCCGGTCAAAAGAGTCGGAACGAGTTGATCGTCATCGGAGCCGAGCCCGAGCTGTTGATTCGAACCCATGCCCCAACTGTACACTTTGCCATCGCTGGTAACAGCAAACGAGCAACTTTCACCGCATTCGAGTAGCACCACGTTTAATTTGGCCAGCCCATCGATTCGCGTCAATTTGTCAATGGATTCTTCGGTTGTGTTGCCCAAGCCCAAGCGTCCATAGTTAGTACGGCCAATGGCAAAGCATTTTTTGTCATTTGTCAAAACGAGTGTGTGATGCTGTCCACCTGTGGAAAAGTATCAAGCAATTTTGTCGGTGAGAAAAAATCGGATTTCTATATCTGCTTCCAAAGCCCAACACTTACCCGTGATCAATTCAACATTTTCAAACGGTGTTTTGTGCGGTGCGAACACAGTTTCCGTATTCTTCTTTACAATGCCAAGTTGATTGTAGTTGTTCAGACCAAAGCCGTACACCGTTCCGTTGGCACGGTTTTTGATAAACGTGCAGTATGTGGTCGTCCAAATGGCATCGATAAAATTGATATTTCGTGCAGTGACAAGACCCGGCTGCAACAGTTGGCCCTTGCCTCGTCGTGTTTCGCCCGATGATGCTCGTGAACTGACACGGCCTAGTTGTCCTTGCTCGCCACAGCCAACGGTAAACACTTTTCCAAGCGCAGACAACATCACCAAATGATCGGCACCAGATTTGATGTCGACAAATTCTTCGCCGGCCACCACTTCGACTGGCGTTTGTTGTTTTCCTTTCATATTCAAACCCATCGTTCCGTGTGAATCACGAAATGAGCCGCATGCAAAGACTCGACCATCGCTCAATAAAAATGCTGAATGTGAATCACCCGCCGTAATTCGGATGCAATCTTTTGGTAAATCGACTTTTTGTGCCGAATATTCGGATCCCTCTTCGCTTGTATCGCGACCAAGTGCGCCTTCGTCATTGCAACCGAATGACCACACTTCACCGTCCGCCGTTAAATACAAACTATGCATTCCACCGGCCGAAATATCGACCACTTTTGCTTTTAAACTGTCGACAACGAGGGCTGGACGCGTTTTTTCAATAATATCATCGTCAAATCCAAGCTGACCCACTTCATTTTGACCGCAACTTAACAAATTCCCAATTTTATTCGGTCGCTTTACGATTTCGTTGCGATGGCTTGGTTTGTTGGCTATACCTAGAAGAAAAAATATCCAATACGTCAAAATATTGAGTTCGTTAATTTTTCAAACATTAAGTTTTTTAGCGCATTTTTCACACTTACGTCCGTTCGCTTCATTTTTTCTGGCTTTGGATGACGGTTGTTCTTTTGCTGGTTTCTCCGCTTCCAATTCAGCTGCCTTACGCTTTTTTTGTGTAGCTTTCGGTGGACTCATCTTTACTGTTTCTGTACCAACAAAAAAAAACATGAATCTCATTAACACACTTTCGTTTGTCGCCTACTTTTTCTATGAATTCGGTATTTTTCTTTGGTTATGTTTGCTGTATCACCACAGCAGCGATTTTTGATTTTTTTTTCACTGAAAACCAATGGATGACATAGATTTTACATCACTCACCAAGATATCGGATTCGTCTAATGGCACTTTGCGAATTGGAATAGTTTAAATTTTTAATGTTTTTTATTCTAATGCGGTTAACTTGTAAATTCGTTGTGTGGCAAATGTGCCTTTTCACTAGCAAAGATATTTTCAAACTGTCATCTGTTTATAATTCTGTCAAATGTGAAGAAATCGAGCGCAATGTGACATGCTTGTGTTTTGTGTGTTTCAATCAAGTTAGCCGGTTTGTGTGCGCTATTGGCAACACTGGAGTAACATCGTACAACGGATGGCAACAATGAATATTCGACCCAATGGTGCTACTAACACCGTGCTAGAATGTTTCATCCAAATGAAATAAATCACGAAATTCAATATTAATACCCAATATGTTGTCTCCATATGTTTTAATGTGCTTCGTCTAATATTCTTTTGTTTCCATTTTAAATACGGAAAATCGTGTCTAGCGTCCGATTGTGTGTAAACACAATTGAATTGTCGGCCACAAATCATCTTTGCACAGAAGCTGTTAAAAGCAAATATCTCAATTAGGCTGGATTGAACTGTACACGCGGTGATTTGTTGACATTGTGTCATGCATTTCGTGCGGCGATTAGAATTTATGAGCTCAATATTTTGATAATAAAAGGAAGATCTTGAAAAAAAATGTTTTAAACTCTTATTCTGGGAATAAAAGAATGATTAATTTACTCGACGCTTGTAATACAATATTCTGTATTTCGCAGTCAATTTGATAAATTTGCTTCATTTATCCGTTGAATAAAGTTTACCGTTTAATGAGTTACTAAAGGAAAACAAACATTTTTGTTCTTTGAATCGCTATCGATAGCATGCAAATATGACATCAAGATTGGATAAAGCGATTTTTCGTGCTGTTGTTGTCAATTTATTATTTATTCATTTTGGTTACGATGCCGATGGTTATCAATTTTCTTTTGAAAAGGCTACATTATTCATGCTTTGTGATTCAGAGCATGGTTTTTCCATGGAAGATATGGAAGTCATTTATTGAATGAGATTTCTTAGGAAATCAGTTGTCAACTTAAAGTTGAATTGGTGAATATCACAAAATGACCGTAGGGACCTAATATCTCAGTAATAAATGCTATCTGGAATTCGGTATGAATACATGTATACTTTAGATCGTGTATTAAAAATATTTAGTTGGAAATCGTCCCGATTTTGAAAATATTTTTGGAATAATATCTTCAAGTACTGAGAAAAAACTGTATTTTTTAAATTTTATTTTAAATTAAGGCCAGATATTGAATATTATTGTTGTTGTGATCAAAAACGGCCACTCGAAAAAATCAGTGAAAATAATGTTTTCTGACTCAGTACAATGTATCAACAGCTTGATCCAATCCATCATTAAAGCCTAGATTAGAGCACTTAAAAACATTTACAGCATTTCTGAAGAATAACGTAACAGTAAAATAAAGAGAAATCAAATTTTCGTCATTTTTGATAGTCTAAAAAAATGTCCCATTTTAAAAATGAGTCAACTTTAGTATGTTCACATTTTTAAACTCAAGTTATTAATTTATGTGACATATCAATTGAAGAGGACATTCTTTGAACATTAAACACGAGCTCACGTTTGACAATATCTGAGGCAGTTTGGTTTTTTTTCCTAATAGGAATAGAGTAAGCCACTAGATGTTGTCATATGGCTACGCTAGGGTGATTGGAATTAAATTTGAAACGGTCAAGTTCATTTGGTAGAAAATGTAATGTCAATTTTTTTTGCGTAAATTTTGTATAAAGAACGAAATATTGATCTCTAGTCCTTAGTGTTCTCACCATTTATTCACGCTTAATACAAGCGGATTGAATGACAAATAAACCCCAAAAACTCTACTAATATTCAATCTAAACCTATTCTTGTGTCCGTTTGTTCATTGAATAGGAATCGAAATCGCGTTGAAATCTAGTTTAATATATGATTCACATACAACATTAGTGGCATTCATCAATCACAGGTATGAGAGATGTGAAGCAGTTAGCGCGGTGATAACAGCCGTCAAGTTCTTATTCTCTCTCCCTCTCTATCTTTCTCTCTCTTTCCTCGCACACGCCGCGCGAATAATATAAATGAGATATGCTGCGTGAACGAAAAGCTTACGCCACACAGCTGTTATACTACACACATGGTCGATGGGCGATTGGGGAAAAAGAGAGAAAGAGTGAGTCCGCGTTTAAGTGAATGAGTAACGAAAGCGGGCGGGCGAGCGTGCTCTCCGCACATTTCGAACGGAACACTCACTCACATACACGCCGCATAGTGTGTCGGCTTTTGAAAATTTGAATTTGATTCAGTTGGTTTTGGCGCGTTGTTCAGACTGAACGTACGTTTGTTCTGTTTGTTGTGTCTCTTTTCTTCAGTGGATGCGATCACTTTTGCCATTAATTTTTAATCAGTCCCAAGAAACAGAAAAAATAATAATACTTAGACAATTTTTGAAGTTGGTTAAAACATCGCAAACATAATTTTTTTTCGTAAAAAATAAAACGTGGAACGAGTTCTATTCTTCAAGAATTGAGAAACAAAAAAAAATTGCCATATATTTTATTTTGCCAATAACTGGAAACCATAAAAGTTAATTTATCAAATAAAATTCCCGAATGAGTGTTCAAATAAATCGGAAGGAGATTGAGATTTTACAAGCAATGCCTAATGCTTGGCCACACGAAAAAATCAATTCCCAGAGAATTTTTGCGATGACGATTACAATTCAGTCACTTTGTGAATTTATCGGCTCTTAATTGCTGCCTACAGTTTTCCTGATTTCGTTTTTTTTGTTCGATATCGTTTCATTGATGCATGATAAAATCTGCATTTTGCCATAGAACTTATTTTTCATTCGCTCTTTGTCTGAGAGACACCAATAAACTTGTGGACACAGAAAGGAGACATAATTGAACGCGCACAAAATAAACACACAGTCTGGACACCAACGAATTCATCACGGAATTTCAAGTCAGGTGCAATCAGAACAACAGCAACGAATATAACCAGAAAAAGAAAACAAAATGTGCCAAACAATGGAGAACAAAACTATTAACGATAATCGATAATGTGCCCAATTATAGTGGAGTGTTCGCAAAGAGAGTAGATTTTATTTTGTCGTCGGTTTGAGTGACTATGAAAAGTGGAGTAGAATCAAATCTAAAAGTGAGAGAAAAAAGTGGAATCAATTTTCAAAACAGTGACATTTTATCGTTATCATCAAACAATTTACGCATTGACAACAGCTTTAATTGGGTTTGAAGGTAATTTTTATGTGAAATATCGCAGTGAATACGATTTAGCCAAGCTTGTTTTTTTTTGGCTGTAAGGAGTAACATTTTGCTTAGATTCGCACTGTTTCTTTGATCACTCGTTTCGTGTCACATTGAGTCGATGGTTACCATACGTTCGTTGCTACGTCCAATAAAACAGCAATTTAAGCGTGTGAGTTATGGGATGTGTAATTGTGAAATAGAACTTCATGTATGCCAATAGATTTGGCATCGGGTCATTCACTTATGTACTTCTTTTTTTTTTGTCTACATCTTCGTTTGCAAGCCTGTTCGTTTCAATTTTCTCTCTTATTAGTTTCCATCTATTTCAACTAAATTTTACCGAAAACGTGCGAATTATTCTTGCATACACCGTCCAATTGCTTCTGAATGGATGCGTGAGCCGCAGCAAGAGAAAAAAAAAATCAATGAGATCGTTTGTTTTGTTTGGGTTGTTTTGCGTGTGGATGCAATGGCCTGTGACCACCAGCTAAGTTTGCGATAAGAAAATGAATAAATTTACAAATCTTTTTTTCGTAAACGGTGTGCCGATGGCAAAAAAGGGCAAACCAATATTTTGTTAATGTGCGCGAGAATTTGTGTGTGTGTGTTTTTGTATTTGCAAAAAAGAAAAATTCGCAAAATTCAACGCCTATGTGTATTTCGACGATGGACCGCGCTGTTTTGTATCATATTTCAGCACGTCTCTATCCAAAATGTGTGTATTATAAATATCGTGGAGTGTGCGCGCGCTCGCTCGCGTCTCCGATCCCCCGACCATATTTTTGGTAGAATCGTTCATTCAAAAACTGTTTCGAACTTGCCATTTATGCCGGTTGCCATTTCTTATTCGTGTCGTCGGTGTGTTTGTGTGCGTTTCTTGAGCGCCCGTGAATTTGGTTGTCGCAGTTTGTTTCACTCTTCGTATTTATCTATATTGTTTTATCTGTCGCTCGATAAAATGGGATTGAGATTGTAGTCGTTTGCCGCGTGTATTTGTATTATTCGTGGAAAGCAATTTAAATTTTGCCGGTAGACAATTTATGCGTATGCCTTAAAAGTTTACGATTAGAAATAAAAGCAAGACACAACTCAGAATTGCGAAAAAGTGAAAGAGAGAGAGAACAAATAGAATTATTAGCAAACTTTTGGCGCTCACACTGAATCGTGATCACATGCGAATGATACTGTCGTCAACATCAGCACCGAGTGATGTCTCTCTAATTTGAATACGAAAAAAAAAATAAACACACTTCTCCCGCGATTTTCGTTCATCGGCTCACTTGTCACTCGGTCTTATCGGAATTTTATTCACAAAATTGTTCAATATATCGACTGATCGGTCGTTTATCGTCGCACTCATTCGTCGATGTGCGAGCAACAGCTTCGCGGCACAGTCAATTAAATTCCAATTGACAGTTGAATACACACACAACGACACAGAACAACAAAATATCGACGAGACGCATTCATGCCCGATGAACAAAAAGCATTTGGAACACTGTTTTTTTTTTGCTGCCGTCGTTTTTCTCTTGATTTTGGATTGAATTATCGCTTTGAAAGAATGAATAAAACAATGTTCCACATAGACGCACCTCACTGAATGTCGAGTCGGTTCCGAAATGTCTTTAACCGCGTCTAACTTTTCGATTGGAATCCACATTTAATCAATTCACACACGTTCGTTCGTTTGATCGAATGAATTTCATACATGGCGTTTGATTACGTTTGCATTTTTCGTCAATGACCATTTCAATCGTTCGCAATGAAAAATTCATTCTTCAATAACGAACGAAAAACTTTCGACAGTGTTTTTGTCTGTATTTTAATCCTCGAATTCTCGTTTGCGATTAAAACATGTATGAATTTGGATCAATAATCTTGTTATTTTTTACCTTCGCTAATAAATCTAGGATCGGAAGATTTTGATTGAAACCGAAAGTTTTTGCGTAATCGAATAGCTATAGACAGTTCAGCTCAAACAGTTTTGAACGGGAGTGATGATTTTTCAGTCGCTCTATGTTTGCTCACGCTGCTGGACGACGATGACGGCTGTGAGTAAATAGAAACAAGTCGACTGCTTGGCACCAACAGTTAACAAAATAAACTAACCGATAACCTTGCGCATATTTAAACTGTTTTTATTTTTACGCACATTACGCTCTTTTTTCGACGTGTGTACATTTTTCGATTTTAGTTTTGACTGCAGTTCGGTCGACTCTTGAATTTTGAACACATTCACATTTCCCACATTATTCAAATTTCCATATTTCCAATCATTTTCCCCCGTTCATGTGTTCCACACTTCATTTGAATATGAAATTGAGAGAAAAAAAATAGAACAACAACAGAAGCACTGACAAACTATGTCAAATTATGCAGAAATATCTCACATATTAAATGAATTTCAATTGAATTTGAAGCGGCCCATATCGAGTCAATACCAAGAAATCGATGACCAGATTAAAATAGACTGGGTGTGTGTGTGGTGGTTTTTTTTCTCGTTTCGTTTCATTCCTATAATAAATTTGATATTTTCTGTTAAGGAAAAATTGAATAATGAGCGCAAGCACTCACTCACTCACTCACTCACATACATAAGTTGTGCAATTTGCTGATTCGACCCGTTGTCGATACGATACGTATATTTCACACGTTTCACTTCTCTCATTACATATTCGCTGAAAGCATGAATTTTGTGCGATTCTTTTGTCGTTGAGTTGTGGCTACTCTTCGTTGCTTTGTTGTTTGTTTGTTGCGGTGTGTTTTGTGTATGTGACATTAATTGACTTGCTTCGGTTCATTTATACGCTCGTTTTCACTGTGCGTTCCATCACGCGGAATCGAATGTGTTGTGATCGCAAGTGCTTTTTTTCTCTCATTCTCTCTCTCTCTCTCTCTCTCTCTCTCTCTCTCTTTCGCTTCCACCAAGATTGACAGTGATCTTGAAATTGAACTTGAACGTGATGGTGATCTGTTTAATGACCGCAGCCGTGAGTTTTTTTTCCTGGATATCTCAACAAAATTGCCAACAACTGATATCGAAACCAAAAATTGGCGGTTTTTGTTTGTTGTTTATCTTGTTGCTATTTTCAAATCACTTTTACCATATGGTTAGTAATTGGCTGTCAATTGGGCTATTGAATTGTATCTCTTTCACTTTGTTTACTACCTCAACACACACACACACACACATATCACAGCCGATCATGGACCAAAATACATTTGGCAAAATTAGCGGCACTACAAATACTACGATCCCATGCGATTAGATCACGTCATTTAAAATTGCCTGAGAAAGGCAATCGAAGGGAAATTAGCCTTTTTCGCCGACGATAACCATACAAAATCTCAAGTGCTCAAGCGCTTAAATATTTGTTTCAAAACTTACATTGTACTCTATCGTTCACGTAAACACATAGCATTCAATTTACTACACTGGTTGTTACAAATACAGTATGTCATGTTTCAGCGTTCGGTAAGCCAAACAAGCTCAGCTATAGAACGGTTGAATTGAAACAAAACGCCAACTTATTGATTTAGCTCAAACGCCATGCGATAAGATAGTGCAATATATGTATATATTTCAATTTTCTATGTAATCGGTTTTTGTTGCTTAGCCATAAAATAAACCCAGTGGATTATCTCATCTGGTCCTTAGTTTGTTCAATTATTGTTTCTCTTTTTCGTTCATTTATAGGAGTGTTCATTCATTGTAGTCGTCGTCGTCGTTGTCGTCTAACGCTTTTGCAATTACACAATGACGATTTTGTGTGCGTAAAAGCGATCGCATTTGGTTTGGGAGCAACGTGCGTTTTGGCACGAACGATGAACTGAAGTTGCAACGTTTGAAATTGATTTGTTCAATCGTTTGACAGATTGATATATGAACCGCATTTTTGTGATCATCAATCAGAAGTTCAACGAGCAAGGTCATATCTCTCCATTCTTTCCATTTATATATTTTATTTCATTTTTCGATCGTTCGTCCGTTCTCGTCGCGCACTGAACATATTATGCTCTCGTGTTTATTGTATATATTCTAGTGAGCAATCGGAAGAGAGAAGCCACTTGGGAAAAGGCAACGAACAACAGCAGGAAAAAAAATTGTCTAGAGATAACGGTAAATTCAGAGCCTTGCGTGCTCAGAATGAGCGCAATTTTTCCTGATGCTTTGGTCCGTGTCAGTATTTATATACAGCGAAAAGAGTGAGATGCTCTCTGTAGTGGGCCGAATTGGAATAAACAGCGCTTAGAATTGACACACTCAATGAAATGCCGGAATCACGTGCTATTTCTCCAGCCCAACAACGCTTTCTCCCGAGAAGAGAGAGAGCGAGTGTGATTGCAATTCAATGAAAATTGTTCCGTCATTTGTTGATTTTTTTTTGTGTGCTATGAACACCTTTTCATCATCCTTACGTAGATTGCAGCTTGTCACACACATCATCGTTTCAGATAACAAACATTGATATAATTTGCTTGATTTTTGTTGTCATAACCCGTTATCGCTGACGATTGGTTTGGGTTGTAGGACGTGCAAAATCATTGTAATTATGCTTTTTTTACTCGTCGTTAACAGGTTATTGGGCCTTGTCTCGCTTGTATCGCCGCTTTGTATTTTTCCCCCTTTATCAACTATTATACTTTCGCTATCTATCTATATTTTATAGAGAAGAGTGACAAAAAAGAAGTAGACAAAAAACCGTTTATGGTGTCTTTCCGTGTATTTTTATTGAAATCACATTGAAACACAGCGATAATAAGTGGCCAAGTTTATTTAGAGTTGCATTACATCAGGACGATTGAGCGAACGGCGATGGCGACGATGACTACTACGATGACACCCAATCGGTCACAATAAACACGATATAGTAGCAATGAGACTCAAGTGGATTGGGTTCTTGTGAAAAGCTTTTGAAATGCGACCAATTTTCCCTTGCTTTAAGTGCCTAATCAATCGTTATATGTAATCGAATTTCGATTGTGTC